AGACGCCTGCAACGGGCTTCTTTCTTCCCGCAGCTGCTACAGCCGCCTCTCGCACCCCACACTCCCCCTCGACCTCCCTCTGACCTGTGCTCATATTCACCTCTAACCGAACCTCTCACCTGCACTTCCTCTGTCCCTCTTTTCCACAGTAGCTTCACGCGCGCCTTTAGAGACGCGAGTAACGAGCTTCTTTCTTCCAGCAGCTGCTACAGCCGCCTCTCGCACCCCACACTCCGCCTTGACCTCTCTCTGACCTGTGCTCATATTCACCTCAAACTGCACCTCTCACCTGCACATCCTCTATCCCTGCTCTCCACAACAGCTTCACGCGCGCCTTTAGCGATGCCAGCAACGGGCTTCTGTCTTCTAGCAGCTGCTACAGCTGCCTCTCGCACCCCACACTCCCCTTTGACCTCCCTCTCACTTGTGTTCATATTCACCTCTAACCGCACCCTTCACCTGCACTACCTCTATCCTTGCTTTCCACAGCTGCTTCACGCGTGCCTTTAGAGACGCCAGCAATGGGCTTCTGTCTTCTAGAAGCTGCTACAACCGCCTCTCGCACCCCACACTCCCCCTCGACCTCCCTCTTACTTGTGCTCATATTCACGTCTAACCGCACCTCTCACCTGCACTACCTCCATCCCTGCTTTCCACAGCAGCTTCACGCGCGCCTTTAACGACGCCTGCAACGGGCTTCTGTCTTCCAGCTGCTGCTACAGCCGCCTCTCGCACCCCACACCCCCTTTCGACCTCCCTCTGACCTGTGCTCATATTCACCTCAAACCGCACCTCTCACCTGCACTTCCTCTATCCCTGCTTTGCACAGCAGCTTCACACGCACCTTTAGAGACGCCAGCAACGAGCTTCTGTCTTCGAGGAGCTGCTACAGGCGCCTCTCGCACCCCACACTCCCCCTCGACCACCCTCTGACCTGTGCTCACATTCACCTCAAATCGCACCTCTCACCTGCACTGCCTCTATCCCTGCTTTCCACAGAGCTTCACACGTGGCTTTAGAGACGCCAGCAACGGGCTTCTGTCTTCTAGCAGCTGCTACAACCGCCTCTCGCACCCCACACTCCCCCTCGACCTCCCTCTGACCTGTGCTCATATTCACCTCAAACCGCAACTCTCACCTGCACTTCCTCTTTCCCTGCTTTCCACAGCAGCTACACGCACGCCATTAAAGACGCCTGCAACGGGCTTCTTTCTTCCCGCAGCTGCTACAGCCGCCTCTCGCACCCCACACTCCCCCTCGACCTCCCTCTGACCTGTGCTCATATTCACCTCTAACCGAACCTCTCACCTGCACTTCCTCTGTCCCTCTTTTCCACAGTAGCTTCACGCGCGCCTTTAGAGACGCGAGTAACGAGCTTCTTTCTTCCAGCAGCTGCTACAGCCGCCTCTCGCACCCCACACTCCGCCTTGACCTCTCTCTGACCTGTGCTCATATTCACCTCAAACTGCACCTCTCACCTGCACATCCTCTATCCCTGCTCTCCACAACAGCTTCACGCGCGCCTTTAGCGATGCCAGCAACGGGCTTCTCTCTTCTAGCAGCTGCTACAGCTGCCTCTCGCACCCCACACTCCCCTTTGACCTCCCTCTCACTTGTGTTCATATTCACCTCTAACCGCACCCTTCACCTGCACTACCTCTATCCTTCCTTTCCACAGCTGCTTCACGCGTGCCTTTAGAGACGCCAGCAATGGGCTTCTGTCTTCTAGAAGCTGCTACAACCGCCTCTCGCACCCCACACTCCCCCTCGACCTCCCTCTTACTTGTGCTCATATTCACGTCTAACCGCACCTCTCACCTGCACTACCTCCATCCCTGCTTTCCACAGCAGCTTCACGCGCGCCTTTAACGACGCCTGCAACGGGCTTCTGTCTTCCAGCTGCTGCTACAGCCGCCTCTCGCACCCCACACCCCCTTTCGACCTCCCTCTGACCTGTGCTCATATTCACCTCAAACCGCACCTCTCACCTGCACTTCCTCTATCCCTGCTTTGCACAGCAGCTTCACACGCGCCTTTAGAGACGCCAGCAACGGGCTTCTGTCTTCGAGGAGCTGCTACAGGCGCCTCTCGCACCCCACACTCCCCCTCGACCTCCCTCTGACCTGTGCTCACATTCACCTCAAATCGCACCTCTCACCTGCACTGCCTCTATCCCTGCTTTCCACAGAGCTTCACACGTGCCTTTAGAGACGCCAGCAACGGGCTTCTGTCTTCTAGCAGCTGCTACAACCGCCTCTCGCACCCCACACTCCCCCTCGACCTCCCTCTGACCTGTGCTCATATTCACCTCAAACCGCACCTCTCACCTGCACTTCCTCTTTCCCTGCTTTCCACAGCAGCTACACGCACGCCATTAAAGACGCCTGCAACGGGCTTCTTTCTTCCCGCAGCTGCTACAGCCGCCTCTCGCACCCCACACTCCCCCTCGACCTCCCTCTGACCTGTGCTCATATTCACCTCTAACCGCACCTCTCACCTGCACTTCCTCTGTCCCTCTTTTCCACAGTAGCTTCACGCGCGCCTTTAGAGACGCGAGTAACGAGCTTCTGTCTTCCAGCAGCTGCTACAGCCGCCTCTCGCACCCCAGTCTCCGCCTTGACCTCCCTCTGACCTGTGCTCATATTCACCTCAAACTGCACCTCTCACCTGCACATCCTCTATCCCTGCTCTCCACAACAGCTTCACGCGCGCCTTTAGCGATGCCAGCAACGAGCTTCTGTCTTCCAGCAGCTGCTTTAGCCGCCTCTCACACCCCACACTCCCCCTCGACGTCCCTTTGACCTGTGCTCATATTCACCTCAAACCGCACCTCTCACTTGCACTGCCTCTATCCCTGCTTTCCACAGAGCTTCACACGTGCCTTTAGAGACGCCAGCAACGGGCTTCTGTCTTCTAGCAGCTGCTACAGCCGCCTCTCGCACCCCACACTCCCCCTCGACCTCTCTCTGACCTGTGCTCATATTCACCTCACACCGCACCTCTCACCTGCACTTCCTCTATCCCTGCTTTCCACAGAAGCTTCACGCGCGCCTTAAGAGACGCCAGCAACAGGCTTCTGTCTTCCAGCAGCTGCTACTGCCGCCTCCCGCACCCCACACTCCCCCTCGACCTCCCTCTGACCTATAATCATATTCACCTCACACCGCACCTCTCACCTGCACTTCCTCTATCCCTGCTTTCCACAGCACCTTCACGCGCGCCTTAAGAGACGCCATCAACGGGCTTCTGTCTTCCAGCAGCTGCTACTGCCGCCTCTCGCACCCCACACTTCCCCTCGACCTCCCTCTGACCTGTGTTCATATTCACCTCTAACTGCACCTCTCACCTTCACTACCTCTATCCTTGCTTTCCACAGCAGTTACACGCGCGCCTTTAGAGACGCCACCAACGGGCTTCTGTCTTCGAGCAGCTGCGACAGCCACCTCTCGCACCCCACTCTCCCCCTCGACCTCCCTCTGACCTGTGCTCATATTCACCTCAAATCGCACCTCTCACCTGCACTGCCTCTATCCGTGCTTTCCACAGCAGCTTCACGCGCGCCTTTAGAGACATGAGCAACGAGCTTCTGTCTTCCCGCAGCTGCTACAGCCGCCTCTCGCACCCCACACTTCCCCTCGACCTCCCTCTGACCTTTGCTCATATTCACCTCAAACCGCACATCTCACCTGCACTTCCTCTGTCCCTCCTTTCCACAGTAGCTTCACGCGCGCCTTTAGAGACGCCAGCAACGAGCTTCTGTCTTCCAGCAGCTGCTACAGCCGCCTCTCACACCCCACACTCCCCCTCGACCTCCCTCTGACCTGTGCTTATATTCACCTCAAACCGAACCTCTCACCTGCTTTTCCCCTATCCCTACTTTCCACGGCAGCTTCACGCGTGCCTTTAGAGATGCCAGCAACGAGCTTCTGTCTTCCAGCAGCAACAACAGCCGCCTCTCGCACCCCACACTCCCGCTCGACCTCCCTCTGACCTGTGCTCATATTCACCTCAAACCGCACCTCTCACCTGCACTGCCTCTATCCCTGCTTTCCACGGCAGCTTCACCCGTGCCTTTAGAGACGCCAGAAACGGGCTTCTTTCTTCTAGCAGCTGCTACAGCCACCTCTCGCACCCCAAACTCCCCCTCGACCTCCCTCTAACATGTGTTCATATTCACCTCTAACTGCACCTCTCACCTTCACTGCCTCTATCCCTGCTTTCCACAGCACCTTTACGCGCACCTTTAGAGATGCCAGCAATGAGCTTCTGTCTTCCAGCAGCAACTACAGCCGCCTCTCGCACCCCACACTCCCCCTCGACCTCCCTCTGACCTGTGCTGATATTCACCTCAAACCGCACCTCTCACCTGCACTTCCTCTTTCCTTGCTTTCCATAGCAGCTACACGCACGCCATTAAAGACGCCAACAACGGGCTTCTGTCTTCCAGCAGCTGCTACTGCCGCCTCCCGCACCCCACACTCCCCCTCGACCTCCCTCTGACCTATAATCATATTCACCTCACACCGCACCTCTCACCTGCACTTCCTCTAACCCTGCTTTCCACAGCACCTTCACGCGCGCCTTAAGAGACGCCATCAACGGGCTTCTGTCTTCCAGCAGCTGCTACTGCCGCCTCTCGCACCCCACACTTCCCCTCGACCTCCCTCTGACCTGTGTTCATATTCACCTCTAACTGCACCTCTCACCTTCACTGCCTCTATCCTTGCTTTCCACAGCAGTTACACGCGCGCCTTTAGAGACGCCACCAACGGGCTTCTGTCTTCCAGCAGCTGCGACAGCCACCTCTCGCACCCCACTCTCCCCCTCGACCTCCCTCTGACCTGTGTTCACATTCACCTCTAACCGCACCTCTCACCTGCACTACCTCTATCCCTGCTTTCCACAGCAGCTTCACGCGCGCCTTTAGCGACGCCTGCAACGGGCTTCTGTCTTCCAGCTACTGCTACAGCCGCCTCTGGCACCCCACACCCCCCCTCGACCTGCCGCCTGGAAAGGGTTGGTTGTGTCTTCAGATATTTCAGACTGTAGTGGTCGGTGCAGACTGTTGTTTGACGTCCTTCGAGATAACATCTCCATGCTTTGAAGGCGATGACAATAGCAAGAGCCTCTTTGTCGTGTATCGGGTAGTTGAGTTCTACCCCGTGCAGTTTCTTGCTGAGGTAGGCAATTGGTTGCAGTCCATTCCCCTGGTCTTGCATCAAGACTGCTCCCACGGCCTGATCACTAGCGTCTGCTTCAATGACGTAGTCACGTTTGGGATCTGGCAAGATGAGCACCGGTGCGGATGTCAGTGCTTGTTTCAGTTGCTCCACGGCTTCCTGGTGCTTCGTCTCCCATTTGTAGGGCGTGTTCTTCTTCAGCAGATTCGTGAGTGGTGCCGCGATTTTCGCATACTATGGCAAAAAACCTGTTGTAGTAATTAGCGAAGCCCAGGAACTGCTGCAACTCCTTCACGTTCTCGGGTGTCTTCCACGTACGTACGGCTTCGATTTTCTTGGGGTCGACGTGAACTCCTTGAGCGCTCACCATGTGTCCTAGAAATTGGACCTTCTCCAGGGCGAATTCGCTCTTGGATATTTTGACGTAGAAACGTTCTCGTCGAAGAATTTCGAAGACACGTCGCAGGTGTTCGACGTGCTGCTTCATGTCGCGCGAGTAGATGAGGATGTCGTCCAGGTACACCACCACGCATTCGTCCAAGAGTGGGCGTAGGATGTGGTTCATTTCTGCTTGGAACGTCGCTGGTGCGTTGGTGATTCCGAACGGCATGACCAAATACTCGTACGATCCGTTGTCTGCCATTTGTAGATAGAGTTGTCCCCCATCCGTATCTGCCAGTATCCGGACCGCAGATCCAGTTTGGAAAATACCGTAGCTCCCCGAAGCTGGTCAAGCAGGTCATCGATTCGTGGTATCGGATACTTGTTCTTGATGGTCTGCTTGTTAAGAGCTCGGTAGTCGATGCACATGCGCAGGCTTCCGTCCGGTTTCGGGGTGAAGAGTACTGGGGCACCGTATGGTGAAGTAGATGGTCGGATGAGTCCTTTGGCTAGGAGATACTCGATCTGCTTCTTCATGTCGGTCAGCTCCGTAGGGCTGAGTCGATATGGTGCTCGGAAGGTCGGCTTCGAACCTGGTTCCTCTATGATCTCGTGTTGATGCGTGGGGTATGGCGGTAGCTCGTTCGGTAGATCATCAGGAAGAATGTCTTGGAATTCCTTCAGCAATTTCTTGATTTCTCCTGGAGGTTCCGAGGTCTTCTCTCCGTCGGTTTCCACCTCTGTTGCTAACGCCAGGAACCCGGTGTCGGTTCGCTTCACGTCCTTCTCGAATCGTGCGAGTGTCTCCACTGGGATATCTCCTGTATCGTCCCAGTTTGGTAGTTGAACTCTCCTTCCATTATTGTAGATGCTTGCAGTGCGGTTCACCCTGTTGATTTCGGGGTTGAATCTTTTCAGGAAGTCTCGCCCGAAAATCAGGTCAAGCCCTTTGATGTTGGTGATGGGGAGTGCAGGTCTCCAGCGCAGTGGTCCAATTTGTAGGTGTAACACTGCTTCGCCGTGTACTGGTAGCTTGCTGCCATCCACCATCGTTGCAGAGAATCCTGAAGGCTTGTACTCTTCCCGAAGTCGGTCGATTGCTGCCTTGTCGCAGACGGTGTGAGATGCTCCGCTGTCCACGAGTGCTTGGAGGCGTCGTCCTTTGCAGATGACCTCGAGCACGAGAGGCGGGCGTTGCTCGGAGTACCCAAAGATACAGTGGCGGATTAAATTGCCCGGATGTTTAACACTTTGAAACGTATCGTTATGCAACACATGTTTCGAAAATAGTAACACCCGTTTTTTTCCATTCTGTTACTCGGTTTTTGAGTTCTGCTTCATCCGTTTCTTGCTTGGCGCGATTGTGACACTAACGGAAAGTGGGGTTGAAATTTACTACTCGACTGTCGATGTGGACATTTCCTACCGAGCGGAAGAGTAGATCTATTTTCCCCCGTCGCTCAGTGTGTACATCGTCACGCGCACCAGTTCCTAGCTTAGTTGTTAGTCCGGAAGCGAGCCTACGACCGCATCGCTATGAAGCCGTTAAATGAGAAGAAGCGCGCGAGGATCAGAAGCATGTTGCGTGCGGGGCATTCGACTAGGAAAATAGGGAAACTTCTTGGCATAGGCAAGAGCACCGTGCACGATTACGGTATGAAACTCGCTGAGGAGACTAGTCGCGAGGAGGTGCGACCTACGATGCCTTCGGCCGGCCGCCCCCGCTTAATCACAACCCGTCTCCAGCGCGGAGTTATACGTGCGATTACTAGCGGCGAGGCGAAAAGCTCTTCAGACGCGGCCAAGATGTTGTTGGAGAAGCACGATCTCGCCGTAGACTCGAAGACGGTCCGCAACTCTTTACGATCCGCGGGGCTGATCGCCGTGCATCAGCCCAAGAAACCCAGGCTCTCACCGAAAAACATCCGCGATCGTCTCGACTTCGCGCGGGCGCATGCCGACTGGACGCTGGAGGACTGGAAGCGGGTGATTTGGTCTGACGAGACGAAGATTAACCGCTACTGCTCCGACGGACGTGCGTACGCCTGGATTCGCGAGGGCACCAGCCTTCGGAGCCACCAAGTCCAACAGACAGTTAAGCATGGGGGCGGTTCTGTGATGGTGTGGGGTTGCATGACGTATGAGGGGGCGGGGTTCATGTGCAAGATAGATGGCAGGATGGATGGGCCGCTGTATCGCAGCATCTTGCAAGATGAGCTCAAACAGACCATCGATTTTTTCAAGCTTTCCCCCTCAGAGGTCATTTTCCAGCACGACAATGATCCCAAGCACAGGTGTCGTCTGGTCCAAGACTGGCTTGGGGAGCAGGAGTACGCGGTGCTGGAATGGCCGTCGTGCTCCCCGGACCTTAACCCAATTGAGCACCTGTGGGCATACTTGAAAAGGCAGCTGGGGAAGTACGAAAAGCCGCCAAGGGGAATGCTGGAGCTGTGGGAGAGGGTGCAGGAGGAATGGGACAAGATACCGCCGGAGGTGTGTGCAAACCTGATCGACAGCCTGCCGAGGAGGATCAAGGCAGTGATTCGGGCAAAGGGACGCTGGACTAGGTACTAGTTTTCCTAGAATCTAGTGTGATACCATTTTCCGGTACAAATTGTCCACATGTTCTCCCATGCTATGCTTAGGAGTTTAAGGACCATGTGTGGTACTACTTTGGTGTTTGAACACTGGAGTGACTGCTCTAACTGAACTTCTCAGCGTTAATGCACACCGTACATTAAGGCTTAATGTATACGCCTCTGCACTCATAAAAATGCCAAAAAAGGCAAAACATGTGGACAATTTAATCCGCCACTGTAGTTTCATTAATGGGGTCATAGGGTACATCCCAATAATCCGTACACACCTTTTCGTTGCTATCTGCTCCTGAGCTAGCAGCTGGCCGAGGCTGCTTGGAGAACGGCTCTTCTCCAGGGCCCGGAGTTTCTTTGACGACTGTCCGCGTCATTGATGCCGAAGAACTGGATGCATCCGGAGAAGGAGTTCGGGGTTTTTGCAGCTTCTTGTAGACCCCCAGCTTCCTTTTAAGCTGCTTCAGCTCCACTGACGTCTTCCCAGGGGAACGCGTAGTCGATGTGGGCTGGTGTCGGGAGAGGACGTTGACTCCGTGGAAAGGTCGGCTTCTTTCCACACTCCTTAATTTTTTTCCCCATGTTGTCCGGTACCGGTATGATCTCCACAGCTTTCTGCTTCTTTTGGAGTCCCTCCCGTATTTTCTCCAAGGCTCTGGCTCCTCGAAAATCATAAGTTTTCATTAAAGCATCTTTATATGATAGCTTTAACGAATTCTTATAATTTCTTGGGTCTTCAAGGAGTTTCCCCGTTTCGGCAGAGTCTTTTTTCGCGGAGTCTGATTTTTCCTCGGCGATTTCCTCTGGCGAAGACTGGTCGTGGGGTGGAGATTTTCCCCCATCATTTCCTCCATCTCGCGTCGAATCAGCTTCGTCAAAGTAGATTTTCCCGGAATCCCGCGGCCGTTTCCGGATCTTTTCTTTTTCGCCAGCTAGATCCGCAATCACTGGCGACTCCCATTTTTTGTCTTCTGATTGGCCGAAAGATTTCCGCCACTGTTGCGTGCCCGATACTCTGCGCGTGCGGCCTTCATTTTGTTGCGGTCGAAGATTCGGTGGCCCGGCACCCCGCAAAAATCACACGTGTAGTTGGTGTTTTTCGGACGTGGCCGCCCCTCGAATCTGTCGATCTCCATTGGGTCGGCGAACGTGGGGTGAGCCGAGCGGTCGCCTTGTCGCGTACTGCCCACGTGCGTCCGTCGTGTTCCGGCGTTGACCATGTCGAAGCGCTCCGCGGCCGAAACGACGTCACTGTAGCTCGCGTAGTTTGACGCTGCCACCTGTCGTTTGACTTCGGTCTTCAGCCCTGCGAGGTACGATTGCTCTTTTTCCCCTTCGGTCAGGTCGGGAATTCAGTTATAAAATTCTTCCATCTGCTGCGTGTACTGTGCTACACTCCCGAACTGTCGATGGCGATGATTTTTTTCGCGGGCAAGGAAAACTGAAGGAGATTGGGAGCTGCCCTACATGCTTGGAGACCAAGTTCTCCAAGTTCCCCTTCAACAGCACTACAGGACCAGCCAAGACCCCACTTGCACTTGTGCACATGGATGTGGTGGGGCCCACAAGAGCCCCTTCCCTCTCAGGCAGCCGCTATTTCTTGACAATTGTGGATGACCACACTCGGGCAGTGTGGGTTTACCCTTTGAAGAGCAAGGGGGAGGTGGCAGCGGCTGTCCTTAAGGAGTGGATGCCTAAAGCTCAGAGGGAATGCGGATACAAGGTGAAGGTGATCCGCAGTGACAATGGTGGGGAGTTCATTGGAGCTGATTTTGAGGGGGAGTTGAAGAGGAAGGGGATCCAGCATCAACTGACAGTGCCCTACAACCCGCAGCAGAATGGCGTGGCTGAGATTCAACAGGACCCTGCAGGAGGGGGCACGCACTCTCTTTGGGCGTGCAGGGCTGCCTGATCCGTTTTGGGTGTCTGCACTAAGGCAGGTCGCCCTTGTGAAGAACAGGGTGCTGGCTACAGTTGGGGATAAGGAGTGGATCCCATATACCAAGTGGTATGGGAGTGCTCCAGCTGTGAACATGCTGAGGGCATTTGGGTGCATGGTGGTGTTTCATGTGCCTAAGGAGAAAAGGGGGAAGTTGGAGGCTTCTGGAAGATGGGGTGTGCACTTGGGGATTGCAAAGGATCACAAAGGGTGGCTGCTATGGGACTTGACCACCCAGAAGCTGACAGTGTCAAGGGATGTGAAGTTTCTTGAGTCCCTGTACTACAAGGAATGGAAGCAGCAGCAACAGAAGCTTCCATCTACACCGCTCATTGTGGAGGCAGATGAGGTGCAGCGGCCTCCAAGACAGGTGGAGGTTGCAGTGTCTGAAGAGGAGATGTCTGGGGTGACTGAGGAAGGGGGAGCAGCTGAAGTAGAGCAGCAGCAGCAGCAGCAGCATGAGTCTCCACCTCGAGTTCCACACCCGCCTGAGCGTCCTAGGAGGGATGTGCGCCCTCCAGTGAGGCTGACCTATGGGGGAAGAGGCAAGCCGAATGTGGTGCAGGCTGGGAGTGTGGTTGAGCAGATTGAGGAAGATGAGATCGCTCACTGCTACTGGGCACCAATCCCTGAGCCCAAGACTCGAGAAGAGGCCTTGAATGGACCAAATGGGGAGAAGTGGAAGGCGAGTGAGGATGAGGAGTTCGGGTCCCTGATTGAGAACGAGACATGGGACCTGTGTGACTTGCCTCCTGGAAAGAAGGCAATCACTTCCAAGATGATCTACAGGCACAAGTATGGACCTGAAGGGGAGCTGACCCGCTACAAGTCTAGGCTTGTGGCAAAGGGGTTTCAGCAGACAAAGGGGAAGGACTATGATGAGGTGTTTGCTCCTGTGGGGAAAGGAACAACATTGAGGGTGCTATTGGCGATGGCTGCACTCCTGGGATGGAAGATACGGCAGATGGACATTGTGACTGCCTTTCTGAATGGGATCATTCTGGAGGAGGTGTACATGAAGCAGCCAGAGGGGCTGGATGATGGGAGCGGCAGGGTCTGCAGGCTGAAGAAGGCAATCTATGGCCTTAAGCAGGCGCCTCGTGCATGGTATCACAAGTTGGAGGAGGCGCTGGTGGCTGGGGGTTTCAAGAAGAGTGAGTGTGACCCCAGCCTGTTCCTGCTGCAGGAGAAGGATGAAATCCTCATGCTCTTGGTGTATGTGGATGATATCCTTCTCTTCTCTGCATCAACTGCTTTGCTGGACAGCGCAGAGCAGATGCTGGAGATGCAGTTCAAGTGCTCCAAGATGGGTGAGGTGAAGTACTACTTGGGGATGCATGTGGAGAGAGATGTGGAAAAGGGTGTGCTGAGGTTGCACCAGAGGAAGTACTGTGAGGGGCTGGCTGAGAAGTATGGGCTGCAAGATGGGGGAAAGCCAGCAACACCACTACCTTCGGGGTTTACTGTGGAGCCATGTGCTGATGAGGAGGTAGTGGGTGAGAGTGACAGGAAGCTGTTTCATTCGATGGTTGGGTCGCTGAACTATGCTGCAAATCATACACGGCCTGACATTGCATTTGCTACATCACGGTTGGCTAGTGTGGTCTCACGCCCTAGTCATGAGCAGCTGGAAGCGGCCAAGAGGTTGGTCTGCTATGTGAGCGCTACCGCATCAGTGGGATTGGAGTACAGTGGAGTGACGCAGCGGTTGCAGAGAGGTGCTGCAGATGTGAAGAGTGGAGAGATGCTCTTGAGTTGCTATACTGACGCTAGCTTCAACTCAGTGAAAGCGGATGGCACCAGCATTGGGGGTTATGTGTGCTTGCTAGGAGGTGGTGCTGTGAGCTGGCGCAGCAAGAAGCAGAATGAGGTGGGATTGTCCTCATGTGAGACTGAGTACATGGCCTTACACCATGGGGCCAAGGAAGTAGTGTGGCTAAGGCGTTTGTTGGAGGAGTTGGGAGTTGGTCAGAAGGAGCCGACGGTGATCTTTTGTGATAATGCGTCTGCAGTGAAGCTGGCCAAGAATGGTTGTCTGTATGGGCTGACAAAACACATAAGGCCTAAGTGGCATTGGGTGAGGAGACTCCTTGATAAGGAGGTGCGGCTGGAGATAGTGAAGACCCATCAGCAGGCAGCAGATATTTTCACTAAGCTTCTGGCGGAGGCGGATCATTGGAAGGGCATGAAGCTTGCTGGGATGAGTGTGCATTGAGTATGGATGCTTGAGATGTTGGTATGGTGGATGATGGTTGGCAGCCAGAGGGGGAGATTGTTGTGTGATGTCATCATATGCTATCACATTTTGTCTGCCTCCCATCTCTTGTTTCAATTCGTATGTATGGTTTGACTGTGTGTGAAAGAATTTGTGTGTGGTGTGTTCTGGAGTTTGGGAATGTGTTTTGTGTTATTTTGTTTGAGCAGGTATTTGTGATGATAGATCTTGAGAAGATCTTTCCGACGCAACAAGAATCGCTTCAATCGGAGCAAGAACGCGAAAGCTATGAAGATTCAAAGTTCATGAGCTTGCGTTACAATTGCGGCGGTTACAAAGTGAAGTTGTGGGGTGACTTTATATGGAGTTGGGACCTTTGGGGTTGGGGAAATTTGTCACTCTACTGTAACAGCTGCAAATTGGTTGGGAACAACCAAGCTAGGTTGGCAAGGGTGGCCAACTTGGATGGATTGGTTGGGAAGGGACAAATGTCAAAATTGGGGTTCCTATAGGGAGGGAATCTTTGTGCTTATGGGGTTTCCTTGGTTGGGGACTCTCTTGGGACCTTCCCTCTCGTCCCTCTCTTTCTATCCCAACCTTTCTCTTGCTCCTCTAATTCCTTGTGAGATTCTTGAACTTTGATTGAACCTTTTGAGATTGAGTTAAGTTCTCCTCCTACAGCTTACCCCCTAATGCGTCGAAAGCCATAGCGTCGCGAATACTTCATCAATCAACATGATTCAAATTGGGAACGGTAGCTGAGATTAAGAGCTACAACATATCCAAGTTTCGCGACATTCCAACGGCTAGTTTTGCGTCGACGTTGTTTCTTGTGAAGACGACTTTTCTATCCAGAATTTCGGATTTATATTTTGAGTAATTCTAGCTCCTAAGTTCACCTAGACTCCGTCCTTAATCCTAACAAGTGGTATCAGAGCGATATTAAGGACATTGAGAGGAGTCTACAGAAGTTTGAAGACCCTTCTAGACCCACCATGGCCTGTGGGTGTGCCTAAGTGGTGTTCTAAAGGTTGGATGTGTCTTCCGCTAAGGGGAAACTCTGCCGAAATTTCGTGGACGCCGACACTTGTGAAAATATCGAGGGAGCTGAGTGTGGACAGCAAAGGGGAGCTGAAATTCGTCATTTCTCAAGGAGAAGATGAATGAGAGAGGAGGAGATGCTAATGGAAGAGGAGCTGTAGCTGAGAAGACAAGTGAGCCGCCGCCATCAAAAGTTGAAGCTTTGGATGGCTCCAACTGTGAGGAATGGAGCGGGCGGATGAGGAGTGCCTTCAAACGCTACAAGCTCCTGAAGATTGCTGTTGGGGAAGAGAAGATGCCGGAAGAAGGCGAAGCACGTGAACGGTGGATTGAGAAAAGCACGGTGCTTTTCGACCTCATCCTTCAATCGGTCAACAAGGAGATGTTCGAGCACATCAAGGATCTTGTGGAAGCGGATGATTCGGGTCCAAGGGCGTGGAAACTACTACGCGATGTGATTCAGCCCAACACTCTCCCGATGGTGATCGTGCTCGAGAAGGAACTTGCTGCCATCTCCATGCGACCAGGGGACGATGTGAAGCCGGTCCTTGACAAGGTCAAGGACATCTATGCAAGGATGGCAGCAGCAGGCAGCAGTGTATCTCAGCTGCAGCAGTGCACCAAGATCATCTCGGTGTTGGACAACTCTTGGGACAACCTCATCCCCACCCTCAACTCTCAGCAAGATCAATGGACACCTGAATGGACACCTCCGCGGCCGAAACGACGTCACTGTAGCTCGCGTAGTTTGACGCTGCCACCTGTCGTTTGACTTCGGTCTTCAGCCCTGCGAGGTACGATTGCTCTTTTTCCCCTTCGGTCAGGTCGGGAATTCGGTTATAAAATTCTTCCATCTGCTGCGTGTACTGTGCTACACTCCCGAACTGTCGATGGCGATGAATTTTTTCGCGGGCAAGGAAAACTGAATTTATCGGCTCGAATCGTTTGAGCAGGTCGGCGCGGAACTGCTGCCACGTGGCTTCACCGTGGATGAAGGTGCTGTTGCCGCCAATCCACTCGAGTGCCGGCCCTCGCATCAGTGTCGCCGCGAGTCGTACGCGTTGACCATCCCAGACTGGCGAGCTCCATCCGACGGCTGCGAAGTAGATCTCCATCCCGGCGATCCATCTGCGGGCGTCGGAGTTTCGATCGCTCGGATCGAACGGCTCAGGTGGGCGCGTTTTCGGAGCCTCGAGAAACTGCTGCGACTGCTGCCTCGTCGCCGTTGTCGAGTCGTGCTGCACTCCGGCGAGTCGAGTTACTCGCTCGAACTCGTTTCGCCACGCTTCGCGATCCGCTCGCAGCTCCTCCTGAAGAGCGGCGATGCGCGCGAAGAGTTGCTGGGTAACCTCGGCGTTGTCGAAGGTTGCCATCCTGTTCAAAATACGCGCGGGAGGGGGAATTCACAAAATGCGGAGCTGGTGCTTACCAGAATCGGCGTCGAATTCGTCTCCCCCGGCGGTTTTTCCAGGCAGGTTTTCCCGCTGCTGCTGCTTTGTTGAGCGCGGCCAAGTGAGAAAAGCTCTGATTACCAAGTGTCACAGGATCGAATGACTCGAGGATCGATTGCACTATCGATCAGCACAAGGTGCTTTTATACTTCCAGAGTACATCAGGTAACCAGGTTTATCCTAACCAAAGGAATAGACCCTTCTAGAATATAGAATCACCCTGCATATAGCCACGCGAGGCCATTGGCTTTAAGGGATTACGGCAGGATTACGCTGGATAATGTGCCAGTACATCCCAAGCCTGGTCGGTGATATAATTATAATAGCAGGATCAACCAAAGGATAATGGAAGAATGGAGAATAGGAAACCAAATGAGATGAGATAAAAAGAAGAATGAAATAGGAAGGAGATAAGAATAGGACAAGTGGTGTAACGGGGTCGTACTCTCACACTTCCCTGCTTTCCACAGAGCTTCATGCGTGCCTTTAGAGACGCCAGCAACGGGCTTCTGTCTTCTAGCAGCTGCTACAGCCGCCTCTCGCACCCCACACTCTCCCTCGACCTCCCTCTGACCTGTGTTCATATTCACCTCTAACGTCACCTCTCACCTGCACTACCTCTATCCCTACTTTCCATAGCAGCTTCACGCGTGCCTTTAAAGACGCCTGCAACGGGCTTTTGTCTTCCAGCAGCTGCTACAGCCGCCTCTCGCACCCCACACTCCCCCTCGACCTCCCTCTGACCTGTGCTCATATTCACCCCAAACCGCACCTCTCATCTGCACTGCCTCTATCCCTGCTTTCCACATCAGCTTCACGCGTGCCTTTAGAGACGCTAGCAACGAGCTTCTCTCTTCCAGCAGCTGCTACAGCCGCCTCTCACACCCCACACTCCCCCTCGACCTCCCTCTGACATGTGCTCATATTCACCTCAAACCGCACCTCTCACCTGCACTGCCTCTATCCCTGCTGTCCACAGCAGCTTCACGCGCGCCTAAGTGACGCTAGCAACGAGCTTCTGTCTTCCAGCAGCTGCTACAACCGCCTCTCGCACCCCACACTCCCCCTCGACCTCCCTCTGACCTGTGCTCATATTCACCTCAAACCGCACCTCTCACCTGCACTGCCTCTATCCCCTTATAAGCATCGCCCCTGTCCTCTTCACCCTTTCGCGTTTGAATTGCCATTTCAGTCCACTCATAACCACCCCTCTTGTCCTCCTTGCCTTTTCTCTTTTGAGCTGTGTCAAGAGCTTCTTTTTTGTCCACAGCTTTTGCTCTGTCCTCTATCCCTCCTCTCTTTTTTCCTCTCCCTCTCACTCCCTACCAGTCCACCACTCCTCCTGCCCCTCTGCCCGTTGCTGCTGCCACTCGCATTGCTGATGGTACTACTGACGGTGGTGCCGCTGGGACTGGTGACGATACTACTCCTGCTAACTGCGCAGCTGTTGCTGGTGATGATGCCACTTCTACTGCTGGTGATGATGCGGCCACAGCTCGTGGTGGTGGTATTGCTGCTGCTGGCACTGCTGCTACTGGTGATGATGCCGCTGTTCTGCTGTTGGTGTTTGTGGTTCTAATGGCAATACTGCTGCTGGTGCTGGTGGTGGTGGCACAGCTGCTGCTGGTGATGTTGATGCCGCTGCTGCTGCCACTGCTGCTGCTGGTGATGCTGACGGTATTGTGGCATGTGATGGCGGTATTGCTGCTGGTGATGCTGCTACTTCTGCTGCTGTTGTTTGCAGTGCTATTGAAAATACTGCTGCTGGCATTGGCGCTGCATCTGGTGCGGGTGCTGGTGCTTGTGGTGCTTGAGCTTGTGGTGCTTGTGCTTGTGGTGCTGGTGCCGATGCTGCTGGTACTACTACTGTGTCTGGTGCTGGGGCGTGTGGCGTTAAAGCGGTTCGTACCGCTGGTGCAGGTACTGCTTCCGCTGCTGCTCTTGATGCTGCTACTTTTGTTGCTGCTGCTGCTAGTGGTGGTGCTGGCACAGCTGATGCTAATATAGATGCCACTGGCATAGCCATTGATTGCAGTAAGTTCTGATTCTCTGGTGCTGCTGTTACTGCTAGTGCCACTGCTATTGTTGGATGTTGCACGGAAGCAGCAGCAGCAGCACCAGCAGCAGCACCAGCAGGAGCAGGAGCAGGAGCAGCAGCAGGAGCAGGAGCAGGAGCAACAGCAGGAGGAGCAAACGAATCGGATGCAGTAGCAGCGACATTCAGAAGAAAGGGAGAGGCATCAAAGGCATTAGCAGCCGAGGCACCACCAGCTGTAGCAGCAGGAGCAGACGCACCATCACTAGTAGCAGCTGTGGCAAAGGCACCACCAGCTGTAGCATCGGTGCATAGAGGGACAGTGATCGGGGCGGGTGCAGCATCTGTAGCAGCCGTGGCGTCACCGTCTGTAGCGGCATTTGTAGCAGCACTGCTTGTAGCATCGGTTGCAGCATCTGTAGCAACATCCATAGCAGCGTCTATAGTGGCTTCTGCAGTCTGTGTGGAAGGAGGAGGAGGGCGATGAGGGGGAGGAGGAGGAGAGTTGACAGTTGAAAGAGGAGTAGTAAGGGGAGGGTAAGGGGCAGAAGACACAAGACACGCCTTCTTCTCTTCCTACTGCTGCTGCTACTGCTGCTGCTGCTACTCCTCATTCTGCCCACCCTGCTGCCCCTCCTCCACATTTTGCGGTCGCTGATTCGCCCCCTTCTCATTCTGCTATGCTTGCATTCTGCTAATCTCCCCTTCCCCCAAGTCCCCTTCCCCCAAGTCCCCTTCTCCCAGAACCCCTTCCCCCATGTCCCCCCCTTCCCCCATGTCCCCCCTTCCCCCATGTCCCCCCTTCCCCCATGCCCCCTTCCCCCATGTCCCCCCCTTCCCCCATGCCCCGCATTTCCCCTTCCCCTATGCGCGCTCCTCCCATTCCCCCTCCCACATAAACCGAAAACCCTGGCGGGGGCCACCCATACCATGCGCCCCATCCCCCGCCAACCCACTGCTCCCCCCTTCCCCCTAAGTCTTCCCCAGCGCCCCTAGATCTTCCGCCCATCCCCCTTCTTCCCTTCCGATCCCCCCTTGTGGGGAGATCCCACCGTACGTGTGCCGGGGAAATTGAGCATTCGGGGGAATTGGCGCATGCGGGGGGATTGACGCATGTGGAAAGATTCCCTCGTGCGCGTACGGGGGGGTTTCCCCATGCGCGCGCGGGGGGTTTGGCGCGTGCGGGAAAACTGGTGGCGGATATCTCCCATAGTCACACCAACCAGGAGGGGGATAGTGCGACGGCGGATAGTGATAGTACGGGGAGGGCACTATATAGGGGAAAGGGGGCGGCGGACCCGGCGGAACGGGGGGGAATGGATGCGCGGAGCGGAAGGGTTCCGTCGTTGGCGCAGATTGGAGTGGCGAGGTCTACGCAACTTGCTGTGGGGGGACTTGCGCAGGGGAGGTGGGGGGATCGAGCGGATGGTGCGACGAATCCATACTAACCAAGAGCAGCGCGAACTGGAGTGCATACTGTACAGTGCATTTTATCCACAAAACATTTCCTTGCATGCCTCAACAACGACACGAAACATTCGCATAGAGGTGAAACACACACCAGCATGAACATAGGCGAACCTACCGTAGTAGCATCCCCTACCCTATGGATGTGCACGCCTCAAAATCCCACACATGACATTTCCACACGTATGGAATACTACAGGTGAAAATGGATGGAACCTGTCTTAAGGTTCGAACAGTTGACTAGAATGGGAGCATACAGGGGTTTATAGCTAATGGGTTGTACTCTCCATGGCATGACCCTATGCAGTCTACTAAATATACACACATATGTTTGCCCGTAGTTACACTACCCTTCCCTGTCTAGCGGTCCCCTCGGGTTCCCTTACAGGCCTCCACATCCCTTCGTTCTCCAGGAACTTGGTTGGTGTCGGCTGTCTTCAGGACCTTGGCGTCACCACTACGTTTCCTGGTCACGAGCGGTTTGCTATCTGTACCGAGACCGCCTCACATACCCCCCTTGCGACGTTCCCCCAGGACCTGGTGTCTGGCCTGTTTACGCTGGACACTGCTTCCCCCCCGGTTGGCGCGACCTCCCCGTCCCCCGCGTCTACCCAGGTCGCTGCTGCTTGCTCGTGTCGGTCGCTCACTCACCCGTTGCTCCTGTGGCACCACCGCCTAGGTCACCCCGCACTCCCGCGTCTACGTCATATGTCTCAGCACGGTCTCGTTCTAGGTTTCCCTGCATCGCTTCCTGCCCTCCCTCCCTCGCCTGCACCACCGTGTACGCCCTACCTCGAGGGCCGGCTGTGCCGTGCTCCTCACTCCTCCTCGCTTCGCCCTGCCACCGCACCTCTTCATACCCTCCACCTAGACGTTTGGGGCCCTGCCCTTGTCCCCGGACCGCGTCGCGAGCGCTACTTTCTGGTGCTTGTCGACGACTACACGCGTTACACCAAGGTGTTTTGCCTCGAGCGGAAGGCCGACGTGCCTGGCGTTCTGGTCCCGTGGGTTGTAGCTGCGCGCGTCCACCATGGTCTCCTTGTACTGAGTCTCCACTCCAACCATGGTGGCGAGTTTGCCTCGGGTCGGCTTGGACAGTTCTGTCAAGCGGAGGGCATCACCCAGTCGTACACCCTGCTGGACTCCCCGCAGCAGAATGGGGTCGCTGAGTGACACATCGGCCTAGTCATGGAGGTGGCTTGTACCTTCATGATTCATACCGGTGCACCCCATTTTCTGTGGCCGTTCGCCGCTCACTATGCCGCTCACCATCTTAACCTGTGGCCGCGCTCTCAGCGGCCGTAGGTTTCGCCGACCCTCCTCTTGACCGGGTCCCCTGGTAACGCATCTGCGTTCCACGTCTGGGGTTGCCACGCTCACGTTCGTGTCTTTGGCACGGACAAGGTCACTGCCTGCACGGTCCCCTGCGTCTTCCTCGGTTTCTCCCTTGACTCATGTGACTGGCACTTTTACCACCAGCAATCTCACCGCTTCCTCCACTCGCGTGACGTCACTTTCGACGAGTCTGTCTCCTTCTACCACCGCTTTCCCCACCAAGGTCTCCCCGTCTCCCCTCCCCTACTTTTGTTTCCCACTCCCTCGGTAGCCCCTGCTCCCCTCCCTCCCCATCCTGCCCCGTCTTGTGTGTCTCATGTCACTCCCCTCCCGTCGGTTGTCCCTGCCGAGGAGTCTGCTGACTCTGGTGGCCCTGCGACGCAGTTTTTGCCGCCTGCCCCTCCCGTGGTGTCTCCTCCTCTGCTGTTGCAGTCACCGCTGCAGCAGCCGTTATTGCAGCCGCAGCAGCAGCCGCCGTCGTCGCAGCTGGAGCAGCAGCTGGAGGCTGCTCCCCATCTCTATTCCATAGTGCTAGTCCCTGAGGGTGACCCAGACGCTTTCGACATCCCAACCCCTTGCACCTATGCTGAGGCGACCTCAGGACCCTGTGCCTCTGAATGGATAGCTGCCATGGAGCAGGAGATGGCATCTTGGAGATCCACCGGCACCTACGTCGACACAGTTCCCCCACCTGGGGTGAACGTAGTCGATGGACGGTGGCTCTTCAATGTGAAGCGCCCTCCTGGAGAGGTGCCTGTGTTCAAGGCGTCCTACGTGGCTAGAGGCTTCAGTCAGCATGAGGGGGTGGACTTCTTTCAGACCTTCGCCCCAACCTGAAAGATGACTACTCTTCGGGTGCTGCTACACATAGCAGCACACACTGACTATAAGTTACACTCCCTCGACTTCTCCACTGCGTTTCTTCAGGGCAGCCTACACGAGCAGGTCTACCTGCGCCACCCTCAGGGTTTTACTGGTACCTTCCCTCCTGGGACTCAGTGGCTTTGACGCCCAGTCCCACCTCCCCCTCCCCGCCGCCTCCGCTCTTTCCTTCCACGCGTCCAGCACCTCCACTTGCTCCTTCCACCGCTCCACTTCCGCCCTCAATCCCTCCATTTGCGTGGCAAACTCGCCCCTCACGCCGCGCACCCACTCCGACACTATCCCTTCCACTGCCTCCCGCAAGCTACCCTCTCCTTCGGCCCTCCCAGCCCCCTGCGCAGCTGCCCCTGCAGCCTGTGTGAGCCTGTCCAGCTCGCTTCAAGGCCGCTATCGCCGCGCCCTGCTGCTTCACCTGCGCATGCACCTCCTCCATTCGCGCCCCCATCCCTCCTGCTATCTCCCTCAGCTGCACGTTCAGCACCATTCCGTTTGTTAAGACAAACTCCATATCTTGCGCCGCCGCCATTTCCTCGTGAGATCTTCTACCAGCCGTTTTACGTCGAAGTTCCCAACGGGCTTAATGGGCGCTGCAGAGCGCGCACGGTAAGAGAGGTTGTCCAGCGGTACAAGCATCAAACTGGAGCCAAGTGGACCAAGTGGTCGGCTGACACACGGGACTTGTTGGGCCTGGATTGGAGACAGCTTCAGAAGCTGGTAGATTCAGCCGCTTCACAGCCGAGACAGGACACAACGGACAAGACAAGAAGGGCATGTCTTGCCGTATCGGGGGCTTCTTCAGGTTCAATTCCGAGTTGAACTGCCGGGTGCACTTCACCGCCGCAGCGAGTCGAAGCCACAGCCTGCTCCTGCTGAAACCCTAGCAGTTTGTGATGGATGGCTGGACGAGCAGGGCGGCGGAAACGCGAGAGGGCACGCTGGCGGGAAGAAAGCAAGAGGGGGTGACTGGACCGGCTGGCTGTCACTACCTTTTTAAGGGTTTCTTAGTCTACGTCGTCGTGCTGGCAGGGGAAATGACGGCGCTTTAGTATTGCGACTAAACATCAGCTCGTCATTGTGAAATCACGAATGCTTCTTCCCAATGAAAATGCTTTCTGGTTCTTTGGTCGAACGGTACAGAGGACGGGCAGGACTGAGGGCGTATTCCTAATTCAGCGCGTTCAAACCAGGAAATCAACTTCGCGAACTACCAAACTGAACCGCACATGAATTTGCGTTTCGGCGCTCGGACCTCTCTGTATCGCGTTGCAGACTCGACTTCGGGTGTGCTGGTACTGAACACTGTCCTGTAGGAATACGCCCTGAGTGAGGAGCGAGGAGAGGATATGGTGAGGGAAAACAGGAACGAGAATGAGGGGAGGGGAGGCGGTAAATTGTAGCGATTATTAGTCGTCTCAGCTATCTCCCAACCTTGAAATCGCACTTTGGTGACGTTAGCGAAGATGCCTGAAGCAGGTAATGAGGGCGAGTACACTCAGGTTTGTAACTTTCGGCCGCCCTAGCTTTGGGATGGTTTGTGTACCGTGTTTCGGGCAGGGCCCACCTGTCCTGCCTGAAATCTCGAAACTCGAGCCTTGTAGTCGCGGTGGTCGCACGAAAGCAACTGGGCCTGGGGCTGAGCAGGGTGCTTAGGGAAACGCCAACCACACGGAGCACCCAGCGAGCAGCATGCCCGGCTTTTAGCGCCAGCCCTCGAAGTCAGATCGGACGTCGCTCCACTCCCAAAGCTGCACCCATCGCAGCCACCGCCACGGCGTCTGGCGCGGAATCAAGTCGATTAGCGGATTCGCATGGGGGGTTAGGAGTAGAGCGCATAAGTATTCGCGTCCCACCTGGTCAACAGTTGGCAGCAGCGAGTTTGCTTGTCGCCCGTTAACTCACGCATTGCTACCCGCCCTACAAGCAGCGTTGGCGGCTCCTCGCGTGGGCGCGCGCGCGAGTGGCGGCATGGCGGACAGCATTCTATTCGAGGACATCTTCACGCTCACGGACATGGACATCGGCGGGAAGAAGTTCGACAAAGGTTCGTCCGTTCCCTCGCCACCATGCGCCTCGCGCCTGGCCAGACGATGGCGGGAAAGGGTTGGACAGCGGCCGCAGACGATGCGTCTCGAGGTCCGGTGCTTCTCCTCGGGTTTGAGCGGTGCTCGGGTCTAGTGCTGCTCCGCATGCGTTGCTCGCGCAGCCGCCTCGTGCCAACGAGCCTTGTGCTGCAGCCCTCTTTCACCCAGTCTGCCACCGCACGCCTCGCGCGCACGCCTCGCGCGCAGCCCTCCGCGGCCCCTCATTGTGCTCGCGCATGTCGCCGCCTGCCGCTCACCTGCCCCCGGCTCGTAAGCCTATGGCAGACTTAAAACATTTCAGACCTTAACGCGCCAGCCTCCCCCGCTGCGCGCCGATGGCTCACGGCCCTCACCCCAATCCCACCGCGCGTCTGCCTGCGCCCGAGCGACTGCTGCGGCCAGTCCCACCGCCGTCTGCGACCGCCGCGCCTTCCTCCCACCCTGCGCCGCCAGGGGCTCTGCTTCATGGAATTCGATTCTTAGATTTCACAAAACGAGTCCCAGCACCCAGCAGCGACGCCGGCAGCGGCGCCAGCAGCAACGCGGCTGCCCTCGCAGGCGCAGGCGTGCCGTCGAGGGGCGGGCGGCCCGCCATTCGGAGGAGGGGCGGGAGGCCCTGAGAGCGGTGTCTTAAGAAGAATGCTTGCCGCGACCACCCGTATTCTTCCCGTTGTATTATTTCCTCAGGCAACGCATGCTCCGATCTGGGGTTTTGCGCTCGCGTCAATCCCCGAAACCCAACCATAAACCACAAACCTTGAAACTCGGCCTTCGGCCGCCGCAGTGAGCTCTCTGTGCGTCTCAGCCGTGCTCCCTCGCCATCTCTGGCTGTAGCCGAACAGCAAACCAAACCATTACCCTATTCTCTTCTTTCCTCCTCCCACCCACCGCCCCCTTCCGTGTCCCTATCATGCTCCAACCCATGCCCCCTATCATGCTCCAACCCATGCCCCCTATCATGCTCCAACCCATGCCCCCTTTTCTCCCCACACGTATCCCCACAGCTCCCGCGATTTGATAAACAGTTTGACTCGCAGACCTCGTGAGATGGTTTATCCACACCCCTTTCTGCCCCAACCCGTGCCCCTTGGTTCCCCCACTCTTGCGCCTTGCTCTCCCCACGAACGCCCCTTGTACCTCCGCCCTCCCCGGCAGTCTCCCGCTTAGAAGCGCGCAGTGAGCAGCTTGACATGCAGCTATCGCTAGATTGGTCTGTATCACGCCCCTTACTCCCTCTACCGACCCCCCCCAAACCCTCCCTACTCCCCCACCCTCCCGGAACTCCCCCCAGTGTCGCGCATCGAGGCGCGCAGCGAGCAGTTTGACATGCAGCTGTCGCTGGACGTGAACACGGAGGTGTACCCCCTGGCCGCCGGGGACAAGCTCACCCTCGCGCTCTCGCCCACGCTCAGCCTCGAGGGCGTCACGGACGAAGGGGTGTACGACCAGGTGGGGGCTGCACGGGGTGCACACAGGGTGCTTCCAGGGAGGGTGCACGCAGGGTGCAAGGAGCAGGGTGCAGGGTGCTGTGATTCTTTCAATGGAGGAGTACCTCCCGGGACTGATGGGGACTAGTTCGCCCTGCCCCGCTCAGCCTGGAAGGGTTGCCCGTCGGACGCTTAGGGTTTAGGTGCCTTGCGAGTCGCAAGTTGCACCGCCAGTCAGAGGGGTACCCCATGGCCCATGGTGCAACGCCAGTGAGAGGGGTACCCCATGGCCCATGGTGCAACGCCAGTCAGAGGGGTACCCCATGGCCCATGGTGCACCGCCAATCAGCGGGGTACCCCATGGCCCATGGTGCACCGCCAATCAGCGGGGTACCCCATGGCCCATGGTGCAACGCCAGTCAGAGGGGTACCCCATGGCCCATGGTGCACCGCCAATCAGAGGGGTACCCCATGGCCCATGGTGCAACGCCAGTCAGAGGGGTACCCCATGGCCCATGGTGCACCGCCAGTCAGAGGGGTACCCCATGGCCCATGGTGCAACGCCAGTCAGAGGGGTACCCCATGGCCCATGGTGCACCGCCAATCAGAGGGGTACCCCATGGCCCATGGTGCACCGCCAGTCAGAGGGGTACCCCATGGCCCATGGTGCACCGCCAATCAGCGGGGTACCCCATGGCCCATGGTGCACCGCCAATCAGAGGGGTACCCCATGGCCCATGGTGCAACGCCAGTCAGAGGGGTACCCCATGGCCCATGGTGCAACGCCAGTCAGAGGGGTACCCCATGGCCCATGGTGCACCGCCAATCAGCGGGGTACCCCATGGCCCATGGTGCAACGCCAGTCAGAGGGGTACCCCATGGCCCATGGTGCACCGCCAATCAGAGGGGTACCCCATGGCCCATGGTGCAACGCCAGTCAGAGGGGTACCCCATGGCCCATGGTGCACCGCCAGT